TTCATCTGAGTGCTTTCGGTACAGCAGTCTGCCTTGGAGGTTGGTAGCACCACTTTCGTTTAGGAAGAGCTTTGCTGGTTCCCCTTAAGGCGATTGGTTCCATATAATGCACAGCTCAGTCCCTGGCGAGCTCACGGTGCCGCGTGGATCTGCTGAGCTGCTGCTTTGTTTCCGTATTTGTATTCTGCAGCGGATTGTTCAATGATTCCTCCTGCTGAACTGCAGTAGATGAGCTGTTTAACGTTGCGATGGTTGGGTTTGTAATGTAAAAACAAAAAAGCTCTCAATTCCAAATTGTGTTTGCTAGTTAGAACGCTGAATTTAAATGAGATTTATATGGAAAATGTATTTTTCCATTGTTTTGCCACTGTAGAAGGACAATAAGACTTCAGTCTTTCTAAAAGGAAATCAAAGCAACCATGGCAGAAATTTGTTTTGCAAGGAAGAAACATCAATAAAAACTAAGCCCATTGCCTTCTACACATTTGTGTCCATATTAGCATTTTTTAAAAATATTTTCTCAGTACAGAAATAACTGTTTCCAACAAGCATGTTTTTTCCGACAGCTGGAATGTTAAAATTCTGAAAGATGAGCAATTTAAAGTATATTTATTGTACCACAGTATGTCTTTGGGTGGTGATTTTGTGTCTATTTCCACAGTACTCTTGATCGTCTTTCCCCTAAATTAGCCCTGATTTAAATGCTGTGTCTCTACGGGGGAAGCATTGGACCAAATGAAAATGAAGGCCTTCAAAGCTGGCGCAGGATGTTGGAGCTGTTAGTGATACACCATGTGAGGTGGGCACCCCAAGGAAAGGTGGGCACCCCATGTGGATCACTGCTGCAAATGCCACACTGGTATCAGTTGTGCCAGTGTGGGCACAGTGCACCCGCAGTCCTCCCATCACCAGTGCCCTTGCAGTTGGAATATTGAAGCCAAGGAGCAAGCTAAACTCGTGTTTGAAATACAAATCTTTGCATGAAGAAGAAATAACTGCCCTTTCAAGGCAGGAGCTGTGTGGGGAGGTGCTGCTGCTCCTGTAGAATGCTATGGTACTGTCCTCACCTCATGATCTGTAAGTATTAACATGAACATGATTTCCACCAGTGATGTGTGAGCAGTGAGCAGATGTCTTCTGAGCACACACCGCGACTTCAGGCACTGCTCACATTCAAACAGAGGCAGCACCTCTGTCATGAGCCTTCCTGCAGTGTTTGTAGCTGTTTGCTGCTGTTTGTGCTGTGAAATGACAGTATTTAACAATATTTGAGAATCACACCTTGACCTTGCTAAGAACTGAAGGTAATTGTGAGATATTTTAAGTTGCCAACAAGTAAAACTGTTACTGCTTGTGTCTTGGGTAATTCTATGTTCCCCTGATGACTTGAGATGCTTGTAGCCCATGTGGATGTCTGGGGGAGCCTGGAGGATTTACACCAGCAAACAGTCACCTGTGAGATCAGGTATCAAAAGCAGCTGCAGAAGGTTCACAGTTGTGTGATGTTCTTCTCAGTGCACCTGACAGCTCCTGCTCCTAGCGGAAGCTTTTCAGGGATAAAAATATATTCCCTGCATTGTCACCACTCAACACATGGATACGGTTCTGTTTTAAGGAAGGAAATGACATTTACAGGAAGAATGGTTGCACTGCCTTGGCATATGTGATCCAGAGAAACCATTTATGGTGTCTTCAGCAGGGAGAAAGACAACTCTGTCCTCAATAGTGACTTATTTATTACAACTTTGCAGTTTTATATCATTTATTGCACCAAGAGGCAGCTTGCTGGTTTGTCTGTGCCCTTCATTTCCTGCACCTTTTTGTGAGACAGCACTGTCCTCACGTCCTGACACCAGCAAGTCACTTGTGAGCCCTGGGGTGAGCACTGTGAGCACAAGATGGCCCCAGGTCTCTCTGCAGGCTGCAGGAATCCCTGCCCGATGTGGGAGCTGCCGCCAGATGTGGCTTCCCGCTGTGTGACCCAGACCACAGGTTAACTCTCCCAGGCTGCATTTACAAAGCCAGCTGGTTGGGGGCCAGTGCCAACTCATTCCATGAAGGGCAAAGCATTGTTTGCCAGAGCTGTGTGCAGGTTTGTCTGTGGCCCCTGCTGCGCTCCCTGCATTCCCAGCACAGCTGGGAATAGAGGCTGGGCCTTATCACTGGGAGCTTGATGCTGGCTGTACCTTCTCAAAACACACCCTGTAGTCACTGCTGGAAGGGGATACTTGGTGTATTACCACCCTCCCTGGCAGAGAAGCATTTTTGAAAGGTAAATCTCCAGTCTGCAAGCTGAGGATGGAAGGAGCAGAGTTGGTGGAGCTCATACAAAATGTATGTAGCAATGCATGTATTGACTCATTTCGGCGAATATCAGAATTTATTGTCCCTTGAACTAAATATTGACACAGACAAAGCAGTGTCAATATTTATCTCTCAGGTTAATACATTTTTATATTCACCTCAACATCCATCAATATGTGCTTACTTTTACTGCGATGTTTGTCCTTCAGCAAGGAAACTTGCATGTGCATGAGTGAGGGAGGTTTATATTAATGTTCCTTTCCTCTTTTAATCTTCATCAGATGCTTTATCCCGCACATGGAATGCAGCACAGGCCCCACTCAAGCAAATCCCTTATTGATGGTTGTGGCACTGGGTGCAGGGCTGAGCAATTGATTTCTGGGTGATGTGACCTGTCACTGACAGAAAGGGCAGCAGAGCCACCTTTGTTTTATAGCCTGCCTGCTCGGTGCCACTGCAATTGAGCCAGATCCGCTCACAGATCCTGAGAGGGAGTGTGGAGCCAGGGGAACAGGCTGACAGCTTGAGAGCTGCAGGGAATCGCTGCCTACTGAAGGTTGATCTTAGAGTGTGAATGGGGCACTGGTGAGTGGGCCAGGCCCCCAGATTGAACTTGCCTCATGCCTGTACGTGGGGCACTGTGTCTGAGTGTGCCTGAAATGGTATTTGGGTGCTTGCTTTCATTAATACCAGTGTTATATTCAGGCAGCACCTTTATGGGGCAGCCCCTGCTGCCACATGGGCAGCTGCCTTGCTTTCCTTGCTCAGGGATGAGGCAGAGCTGCGGCAACTTCAGTAACAGCTGTTTGGATGCTGACATTTAAGTGGCAATCGTCAGTAGACACGGCAGCATATGGTGGCTGGCATGTCACATGCAGCCAAGTGCAGGCAGCTGGGAGGCAGTGCTGCATGGAGCTGCACTGAGGTGCATCTCAGCGACTGCTGTGTGGTGCAGTTTGGGGCTAGGCACTTTTTTAGGGCAGGCTGGAGCCACAGCAGAGGAATGGATTTTGTCCATGCTTACAGTGAAAAGTAAGATTGCCAAGTCCTGGTTAAAATAATGAACATACATAAATACATGCCCCAAACCCACCTCCCAAAAGTAACATTCTCAATTAGCAATTCAGTCTCTGTTTTTTCTTGTCTGGAGTTTGGAGAGTTTGGTGGTGACTGAGCTGCCAACCACCCCAAGCACAGAAGTGAGTGGTTGGGTTTTCAGAGCTGCAGTTAGCAGAATCCCATAGGGACAAGAGCTTTCTCCGTGCTTAGCACTGCATGGCAATGGTGAACTTACTAGTGAGGGATGGGCTCGTATTCTTGTCTCTTGCAAGCTGCTACCTGTGATGGGAAGATGCTGTGACGAAGGTGTGGGGTGTTCATGCTCTGCTGTGCCTTTGAGTATAAAGGGGTCAAGTGTGTGAGTGTGTCACAAGTGCTGAAACAACTCCCTGTGAACCAAGTGCCTGGCTGCCTGCACTTGAGTCATAACTCAGTAACCATATGCCTGCATTCCACAGGCAATTGCCAATTTAAATGTCAGTTTACAAGCAGATGTTGAAAACCTTCCTTTGCACTATTGATTAAATTACAGAAAACCAAAGTTTGAGGCTTAACTCTGCTTGAACCCAAGCAGTGTGTGTGGAGCAGTAGTGGACGGGCAGGGCTGGGCCTCGTGGGCAGATGGGAGCAAGCACGGGTGACCCCGTCAGCCTCGGGTAATGGCCCATGGCAGCCAGATGAAGGATGCTCCTGGCGTTTTCTAGTGACAGTATCTTTAGACAACTTCAAGGTCTGTGGGCAGGCTGGCAGGGGCTGGGGTAGAGGGAAAACGTAGGACTATAAGCCTCTGTTACACAGATTTAAGCTCTCAGGTGCAGAAAAGACAGAAAAATATATCAGTCCAATAGAAGAACAAGTGCAATGAGGGAGGGAGGGAGTGGAAGGAAGCCCTCTCTACCCTACCAGACGTCTGCATGCATTTAAAATCCTTCCCAGTGAAGTTCATAATGAATTTAATTCAGTCCCCTACGGCCCAGAGGAATGTTCAGAGCAATAAAAAGTATTGCTAAGGGAGAGATGGCTGCCAAGCTCCTGTGCTGTGCCAGTGATGCTTATTTATTATCGGCACTTAGCGCTGCGTTTATTTTACTACTTAAATGGTCCTTTGTCACATATTAAGAATTAATACTATAAGATGCACTTTTGGGAAGTTACAATAACAATTCCCAAACTTAAATTGTTGAATTTGTACACTTTAAAAGAGATTGTCTTATTTTTCTTTTTAGACTAAACTATTAATTGAATGCGGCATTTCCTGACTTTGGCTTAGCTATGTAAGTGGGTTTAGCCGAGCATCTTTTCGTGTCTACTTATTGTAGTTGTTGTTACACTGCAATATCAGCACCACTGTTCCACGAATTATAAGCTCAAACACTTACTTGCAGGTGGAGATGCTGTCACTTGTGCAGTCTCCAGATAACGCCGGGGCTCCTGGGCTCTGCAGGCACGGTCTGGTGCCTTTCTGAAGATTAAATTGAGTGATTCAAATGTGTACTGGAAATTTCAGGCACAAGAGGTGGAGGTCGTTTGAACAAAACATTACTTTGTATATAAACATTACTCCAGGGGACAATTTCTGCTCTCACCTAGCCTGCCACTTCAACACAAAGTCAGGAAAGTGGAAAAGAATATGGATGTAGGAGTTGTTTTCACTTTAATAAGGAGCGGAAGGGAAAGTTGAAGATGAGATGAAGAGAGTTTAATTCCTAACACACAGCAACTTCTGGGGGAAAATGCACACGTACGGGTACAGGATGCACTCTGATTTACATTCAAGTTGAGACGAAGTGGTTTAAGCACCTTCTGCTCATTACATCGCAAGACTAAAATCTATATAGCCTGTATACGAGTTCAACTTGATTGCAGCAATAATTCAGTCAAAATATTTACTGTGCTAAGGTCTGAATGTAAAGCTTTTCTTTCGGTGCACTTGGGCTTACTTCTTCATACTTGGAAGTATGAACAGCTGGAAAAAATAATGGGAATTTGTCAGCAGGCTTACTTACATGGTGCAGCTCATTTGAAGCAGTACATGCTTCTTGCTTTTCCAGGTGCAACAATTCACCATTACTTATTCCTGGCAAGGGATGAGGTTCTACAGATTCTGCTTCTCAAAGCCGGAGCTTTGCCACACCATGCAAGGGCACCAGCAGCTCATTTTTCACTTGCTGTACACACAGCAAAACACTCGATCGCCAGAACAAAAGAGTCTGAAGGATATAAGGGGGAAGCTCAGACATTTGGCAGTTTGGACTAAAAAGAAAAGTCAATGACAAAGAATTCAGATACAAGTGAAAAATGAGACTTCCTAGTGCACTGCATTTGAGTTTGCATGCACTATTTGCTGACAGCTTTTCACAGCATCAGTCACAATTTAGGGAACTATTAATCAGCATGATGAAATATCCTTTTTCTAACTAGCAACAAAAAAATTTACACAATAGACCTTATTTTCCCTTGAAGGATACCATCCGGTAAGCACAAAGACCACAAATCAAGGTCTGTACAATTCTCACCCAATTTTAAGCTGCACAGGAGAAAACACTCAGTGCAGTCACTGCTCGGGGCTTCTTGTTCTCTGCTGGCCTATGCCAGGACTGCTGTCTGGGTATTTGTTCTGCTGACAGCGGAGAAAAAAAGCACAGAAAAGATTTGCAGGAGTAATAAATAGTTCAGATTAACTGATGGCAGAGATGCTGCAGAAGTCAGAGAAGAGTCAGCCAAGCAGAGAGGCACAGCATGGCTACGAACAGGGATGAGAGCAGGGACCCACGGCTGTGGGTGTAAGAGGAGTTAACAGAAACAGCAAAGGGCACTTGTCACACCTACTGAAAACAAGCTGCCTGGCCTCCTCCCTGCCCATCCATTTCTCCATGGCTGTGTTTTTCAGGTACTTTTCCCTCAAAACCACTGTGACATCAAGTGATTATGAAAGCAAATGATCAAAAAGATGACCTTTATTTGGGAACTGTCATACAATGAGATCATGTGTTCTTGTTTTTTTTTTTTAAAGTAACTATGGCTTTCATTAAGGTGGTTTTTTTTTTTTGTTTTTGTTTGTTTTTTTTTTACCCCCAATCAAAGTGGTAGTGGTGAAGAGAACCAGTGCACAGCCTCCTAAGTTCTGGCAGCTTCAGAGTTACGAAAAAAATTGCTTCTCATTTCTGTCCTCCTTTCCCCTTCTATTCGTGACTTCTCACTAGTAAGATGACTGCATAATGGACTATTTCAGAATTGCCTTCCCAGTGATCTTTTTAATGACATTCTAGACAGGTAAGAATTAAGATGTGTCTGTGCTCCTGTTGGGAAGGGAGGCAAGACGCTGGAGGAGATAAACAGCGTAACAAGTGTCTGTGGGAAGTGTAAGTGTAAACCATTCACCACTGAGATACTCTCTACTACTTTGCGCACCTGCAGCAGAGAAGCCAACCTGCAGCTTCCACTCCTTCTTAAGCACTCAGATAAGGCACGTTTCCTGCAAAGAGAAAAACAAAGTGGAAGCAGTAAACTTGTGATCATGTTCTGTTTCAGAAGCTTCAGGGGGAAGTGTTGAGGAGAAATCATTTTGTCTCCCTTGCATTTTAAGTGAAGAGTGGGATGCCCAGCATGTGCCCATATCAGCAGCACCGCAGCATCGCCCCTGCTCAGCCTCCTGCTCACAGCACTCACCTGTCCCTCCAGGGCCAATGGTGCCATCTCTGCCATAGCACTGCAGCCCTCCTGGCTGTGGAGATGGAGCTCTCAACACTGAAGTCACTCCCTTTTTAATGCCATTAGTGATGCAGCAACGTGTCTTTATATTCACATATAAATACAGAATGGTCAGATACCGCCTTTTGGAGCAGAATTTATGATCTGAAACCACTTACATTTCTGTGACCAGGCTTGGGTTTTTCTCATTTACATTCATAATTTAATTCCACTGGAATTCCATTCTTAAGAAAGTCCAACATATCTTAATTACCATAAAAAGATCCATACATACTTAAAAATATCTTCTGTAAGAGGAAATTTACCAAAAATAACACCAAATATATTTTTACGCATTTTTTTTTTTGCTTTTTTTTTTTTTGTCAAGTACAAACAAGAATCTGATCTCTTCTGGGTATTGCCTGATCTTATATGGCTATCGGTTCTATTTATTTTGTTTGCTTTTCCAAAGCAAAGGGAAAAACATAAGAAATGTAGGAATGCAGAGCAAACCAAATATCCATTCTTTCCAAAGATACAGGTATCGATGAAAGAACATGGAAAATAAATAAATGAAAACAGGTACAAAGGACCACTATCCAAGCACTGTGCAGTCTTTTGTCGTAGCATTTTATACACTGCAATGACCTTGTAAGTTACCAAAACAAACAAAAAATGCTGCTGGCAGAAAAAGCTGTTAAGCAAAACACTGAAAAATTGGTATTATTTCCTAACAAGTAAGTGCAGAACTGATACTTAATACCGTATGCTTCCCCCCCACCCAAGTATTCACACTTCTCCCTCTTTTTGCTCATAGGACTGATTGTTGCAACCCTGGCAGTATGCTGGATGCCGAACCAGATTAGAAGGATCATGGCTGCTGCTAAACCAAAGCAGGACTGGACCGTCCCCTACTTCAGGGCATATATCATTCTCCTTCCCATCGCTGATATTTTCTTCTATCTCAGTTCCGTGGTGAATCCCCTGCTGTACAATATCTCTTCTCAGCAGTTCCGCAGTGTGTTTCTGCAGGTCCTCCGCTGCCACCTGACAATAGAGCACGCCAACAAAGAGAAGTTCCTCAGAGCCAACCTGAGCTCCAGAGCAAGGAGCAGCCGGTCTCTACGCCCACTGCTCTTCATTTCCTCCAAGCGCAGCTCTTCCACAAGGAGCAATAGCAAAGGTTTAAGTACTTCTCAGAATGAGGCCAACCCCGACTGCAGTCTGCAGAAGTCAGATCTTGAATTGCAGGAGCACAGCTTGGAAGTAGTGCCACTAGAGACGAGCTCAAAGCCTGGCCCAGATGCACAGAATGGCCTTTGTGAACACGAAGTATGACTTCATAAGGCAGTGGGCAGCAATGAACATCAAAACACGTGAACTGAAGTGGCCAAGGACTTGACTACATCTTAATAACACAATGGATTTGGTTCCAGTTATGCAAAAAGGAGTTCCATATCCTGCTGTTGAATTTCCAGTGTGCACTTAAAAAAATCTCAATCTGCTAACAGAATTCACAGAATCACACAATCACAGAAAATATTAGGGGTTGGAAGGGACCTCTAGAGACATTGAGGCCAACCCCCCTGCTCTGTCAGGCTCCCTACAGCAGGTCACACAGGAAAGCATCCAAGTGGGTCTTGACTATCTCCAGAGGAGACTCCACAACCTCTCCAGGCAGCCTGTTCCAGTGCTCCAGAGTAAAGTTCTTCCTCGCATTAGGATGGAACTTCCTGTGTTCCGGTTTCTGCATTAGCTGCCAGAAGTATCAGCCTCCTTCCCCACAGCCGCTGAACTTCCCTCGCTGTAGATAGAGACTTAAAAACAAATAAAAATAATTGCAGTGTCTTTGAAGAAAGGAGGAGATAGAATAAATTACGTCAGGACAAGAAACTTGCTCGAAGTTTAGCAATACAAAAACAAGAGAGAGAATGTAAGGAGCAGAGCGGTGGTTATCACGTGTGCCCTCAGTTTCACACCAGAATTCCCCCTTTTCTTCGGCCGGGGTCCATTGCAGAGCGGAGTGTTGCAGCAGCTGATGCACACAGAGTTCACTTTCCCTGGAGAGCAAAAAGATTGGTATCCAGCAGAAGCTATCAGACACGCTGCTGAAGACGCGCAGGATTTGCGATACATGATTCCTGTGGCACAGAACAAAGGTTACTTAGCTTGACATGAGCATAGCTTTCTTTTATGATTCATACTTGAAAACTCTTGCAGAACAGTTTACGTTTCCAAAGCAATGCTGGTGATTAAGCCACACACCTCGGCTGGGACACAGCAAACAGCTCTGCACTGCAGGAGAACCACGGCCACCACGTTTGGGATTTTTCTTTTATTTGATTCTGGTTGGAACCAACAAACCACTACAAACGTGATTCACATCATGTATATCAAAACATCCCTTTTATAACAGAATTTCTCATCTTTTGGATCATGCTGTTTGAATAGCTACAACTGGAATGCAGTAAATTCTGAAGTTATTTCTATTGTTGAACACCTGAATGAAGGTGTCTGAATAATTACAGTTTTCTGTGTTGTTAATTTGTATTTTGGTCATTTTTTTTTCCTTGCCGCTGTTACCCAGACAAGTTACCAACAGCAAAAGGAGGCTATCAGTACTTTTCCAGGTGGTCTCAGTTCTTACTCTTTGAGGTTTAATAGTTCAACAAAAGTTTATGTTTTGACAGAAATGGCTTTCCTGAGTTGAAAGCCTTATTTATAAAAGCATTTTAACATACATAAAAAGGAAGTCTGCCAGTATTGCCTTGTGTTTGTAAAAAAAGATACATTTTTAAGGATAATAAAAACCATAATTCCTTTAGAACACGGGATTCTCGAAGTGATTTCTTTTCCCTCTTAAAGAGCATGGACCAGGATTCCCTCAGACAACAGTGCCTCCCCTACCTGAAGGGTGGTTGTGCAGTTCCACCAAGTTTTTAAATACGATTTAGACTTTAAAGGAGCAACAGAAGAACATAACCCATGGGTACTGAACTTGCACCTCCTGCAGGGGGACTTCAGGGAGAGGTCTGTAGAAACAAACAGTGCGATACATTGCAGTAGATATTTCTGCAATAGCAACTGCCACCACACTACTAAGTGCTGTAAAGAGCAGCAAAATACCATTTATTTGGGTTATGCTCAAAAAGAAAGATTTCCTGTCTTCAGACAATTTTAATTAAAGCAGTTCTTTTGTACTGTCACAACACTGCTGCATCCAGACATAACGGAGGCTTCCTTGTGTTGTGCTCTCCCTCCTGCCCCAAATTCAAACTCTGAAACACGCTTTAGGGCTGTCAAGTTAAACTTACAAAGAGACGCCCTCAAGACAGCGTTAAATCTTTCTTGGTGTGCAGTGAGCTTCAATCAATCAGCACAGCAGGGAGAGTCTTTCCTCAAGAAGGAGGAGGATGTGCACACTGCTCTAACTGTAGCAGCAAAGGCACAGCGATCGAGAGGCACAATCTTTATTGTTAGAATTTGCAAAAAGAAGAGAGTTGTGTCTGCTGACAAACCACTGCCAAAGGGCCTCAGCTGTGCTGCCGATAGGCTCACCTCTCCCACAAAGATGCGGCACTTTGTCCAAAGTCTTCTGATAGCTGAGACAGACATGAACCTCCTCACGGCTGCGATCAACCTTTTTCTCCCCCTTTCTCTCCTGAGAAAGGAACTCAGTGGAATTAAGCACAGTGATTGCCTTCCCACCTCTAAGCACCTCATCTTGTGTTCCTTCCCTACAGCTAAAGACTCACCTAACTCAGCCATTCCATATCTTCCGCATGAGCGGCAAGTCTTGGCTCTCCCCTGATCACGCCTGCAAAAAGCTTTTCACATTGGCAGATCTCCTACTCCCATTGTTCTGTGCATCACTCTCTTCCTGCCATTTCCTTTTCACAGGAAAGGGCCTTCTCACAATGCTAAGTGATTTACTGAAGTCCCTGCGGTATCATATACTTTGCAATATTCAGCAGGCGAGGCCATGAGAATCGCTCAGTGAACAATTAGATAATGCACTCTGACGCACTGTGTTCACCAGACAGATCCAGGAGGCCTCTCCTGCAAAGATCCAACTCTTGCAGCGTAGCTGTGCATTTACAGCAGCTCCATTCTCCAGGATAGATTGTGCAGAATAATCCTGAGCTCTTTTTGAAGTCAAAACCCAACGTTCCTGCAAAGATCAGTGTTTTGTGGCTTCAGCATTGGGGTTTCATGCACAGATGGACTGTGTTCATGCCTAAATAGAGAAAATAATCTAACCAGTAATAAAATCATATTGTAATGCTTCTCGTGTCTTTTCTGTAAGATATTTCTTCCAATTGGGAATTCCACTCACCAATGATTGTTTAGTCCCATTTCTAGCTCTAATAATCCAAATTGTAACAAATTACTTCCATAAAAAAGTCCGCACCATCAGTTTTTTGATAGCTGTGTGGCTGAGACATGCCCTCCACGTGCTAACTTTTTCCTTTAAGTACTGATGGATCCTTTTGAGCTCACAAATCAACTGTCATTATCCACTAATTATGCTTCCTAGAATTTATGAGGCATTGGGCACGAACTAAACTCAATTCAGAATGAAATGGCTGTGCTTTTCTTGTAGTTCTGCTGTACCTTTAAGGCAAGATATAATGAAAACAAGCATAGAAGATTAATGGGAGAAAAGACAACATTACAAGAATGACGTTTTAAAAACACTGCAGCCACAATTTCACATATATATGTATATTTTACTGTGAGTGTGAAGGAAATAGGAGTCTAAATAGTATGAAATAAGTAAAGGCAGAAAATACTCCTAAGCCTCCTTCCCACCGTATTATGATTCCTGTTTAGTTGTGGTAGAAAATCAATTGGCATAACTGGCTTCTGTGATTCTGTGCCAGAAACACCATCTCCTCACTCCAGCTGCAGGTTAATACACCCCAGCTACTGCTGTTCACTCCCTGAGCTCGGCAGGACGTCAGCGTCCTTTCTGCATTAAGTCTAGATTAATTGCTTTTATGTCTCAAGGACTTCTTTACTGATACTCTGCTCTTGCAGGGTTTTATGGTAACACTGATCCAGTTCTGAAACTATTTCTGAGATCTTCCAGAACCATTTGCCACCAGCAGCCTGAATGGCAGGCAGTGCTCCAAAGTGGTTATCTGCTTCACGAGGCTCATACTACAGACATAACCACTAATTACTGGATATTCTTGCTTGAGCAATCAGCTTGATATCTTCATTAATGCATCACCTAGAAATACAGTTGTTGAGCTTCTTTAAAGAGCTTCTATCTCAGAGTGTTCTGAATTGCTGACTAGGCAAGGAGGCTTTACATTTTACACTGTGCTTTTACTGGGACAGTGTCATTGCAGGCTGCCTACTCAGCTACCACATTTGTGCTCAGTCTCTTGAACTAACTCAGCCTTTCTCACCAATTTAGCAAGGCCCTGACAGCAGTGTGGGCTATGTATTTGTGTGTGTACTATAAAGATGCTTTACTATGAAATATCTACTACTGACAGATTAATTTTCCTTCACTTCAGCCTCAAGGTTTGTGAAGTTTGCTCAAGATGTATTTTAAATATGAAGAAGCTAGGGAATAAGACTAGGTTAGAGTATCTGTGCAACAATATTCCTCTCCCTTCTGTTGTATCACATGTGCCTGCTGTTAAAGTGCATTAAAATGAACAAAAAATCCAACACTGAGGTTAAACCAAGCACTGACATTTTACTCTTAGGTTAAGCAAGCCAACATTACCCTCCTGTCTGTTCTGCACGGTCGTACACTTTGAAAGCATCAAGGTCTAAACCATCTTTCTGTAAGATTTCTGCCCTATTTCATGCACTTAAGTGATGAAAATACAAGTCTGAAGGCGTTTTCATAGCTCCTTTCTAGTACTGATTTTCCTATCTACATCCACACAGACACACACCCAAGAACTATGGCATAACACTCAAAGCCACTGTTTAACCACTGCTTAGCTCTGTGCATCCACCCCCTGGTGCTCAGTTTTAGCCATATGCACATGATGGCATCAAACAATTCAGACTACAATTTACTCAGATCTACAAAGTCAAAGTTCTTCTGAGTGCCCTGTCTGCAAAGCCCAGTACACGTCCTCTAAACATTAACAGCTAAACACGTCTCCAGAACAACCAAGAGAGCTGACATAACACCTAGTTCTTAGACCATATGCAAAAAGCACCTGAATACCCAAACATTTTTTCTTAGCTCTTTAAAGAGACTTAGCATGCACCTCAAACTCTTCTTTTGTAGAAGGTACAGAGAAAAAGGAGCAAACCTCTGCAGTCAGAAAGCCCACCATAATCCTGTAAACAGCTTTGATTGGCACCCGTACTCTCAAGACTCCTTCAGTCAAACACAAACAATCTTTGAAGCCAAAATAGGGAGCTAGGATACAATTCAAAGATTCATGACCTCATTTCCAAAGAAGATAGTCACCTTCCCACTTGGAGACCCAACAAGTCTTAAGCTATTTCCTGAACGGGTACATTTCAGCAGGAAACTGCAGTACTTTTATTACCACAGAACTGTCCATCGCCACAAAACTCTTAGCTGCAAGTTTAGCTCACATCAAAGCAGGTGATGATGTTTAGCCCAACGCAAACATTTCCAAGCCAAATGTTCTGTATAATGGATGAGACTAGCAACTCCCACCAGAAAAAAAGCAGAAGTAAAATAAAAACATCTACAAATGCAAACAATAAAAAAAGCCCCCAAACATTTGCTACAGTGTTTATAAATATCCAGCTTTGTAGGCATAAAGCCATATTTGTCTTCTGCAACGCCTTCCACACATTCTGTGCATAGCCCCAGCATGCCTGCCGCATCAGACAGAACATTCTGGAGCATGAGAAGAAGCTTCAGGTCCTATGAAGGCCCAAGTAGGCATCCTTGAGCAGTCACAAAGTCCCCTTACCAGGCTTGGAGTGCCTTACTTCACAACCACCAATTTTCAGGTCCTCGTAAACCCTGAAGTTTTCCTTTCTGTTTTGCTTCAACTTGATCCCTTGTCTGCCTAACCACACTGCATGTTTGATTATATGTGCCATCCTTCCCTTCTCATCCTAAACTGTTGCTTATCCTCCAGCCGAGGGAACTTCAGCATCCAGTAGGAATTATGAAAGATCTGTG